CTACTTCCGTAGTGATACTGCCTCAGAAACCCAAGGAGGGGTCACTATGAGTCGGGGCCGACTCGAAGGCAAACAACAACAACAACAACAACAAAACTAATGCACAGAAAAATGAGAAAATTTGTCCAAGGTCACAGAGCTAGTATGTGAAGGCAGCCTGGGGTTCCAGAGCCTATACTCTGAACCATTACTTCCCTCTATGTGCCAATCCTGGAAGGAAGATGGGGCAATCTACTTCCATAGTGATAATGCCTCGGAAACCCAAGGAGGGGTTGCTATGAGTCGGGTCCGACTCAACATCACATAACAACAACAACAACATGTGCCAATCCAGGTATGGAATCAAGGCATAATCTCCCATCATTCCCTCACCATGATCTTCAGGGAAGGTGTATCAGGAAGCTACTCTTGTCTGATTTCCTCTGTAGAAGTTTACCACCAACTGGGGGCTGCCTGGCTTGACAGCTGAGGAGTCTGCACTTTGGATATACCTTAGCAAGAGCCTCCCTAGTGATGGAGAAGTGAGCTTGCTGAGTGCTGTCTTCTGAGGCAGGTGTCCCCAGATAATTTATCTCATTTGTCAAGGGCTCTCCTAGCTCCTTTGGGTCTGGTGGCAATCATTAATAGCCCAGAGGAGCAGAACAAACCCCAGACTTCGAGTTAGGGATCCGGTTTCCACTCCTGCAATCAGTCCTGTAGCCTGAGAAATGCCCTTTATTCTCTTTGGGTCAGTGAAACAGGAGGACATCTATCTAGGCCTCAAGTTCTCTGAGAGCCTTTTTTCCGCAAACATAAATAAAAACTAAACTTAAAAAAAAAAACCAAAAAAACTCACTGGTGTTGAGTCGGATCTGACTCATAGCAACCCCCCCTCAGGTTTCTGAGGTGATATCACTATGGAAGTAGATTGCCCAACCTTCCTTTTGAGGAGTGGCTGGTAGGTTTGAACCACCAGCCTTCTGGTTAGCAGTCAAATGCCTTAGGCACTATGCCACCAGAGCTCCTTCAAACATAAATAGCTCACAGTTAAAAATGTTATCCAGGAACATGAAAACAAATTCTCATTTTCTAAGGAAAAAGGTATGAGTTCCACTTCGTCACTCTCCAGGCCCCCAACCTTAGGTATTTTTATTCTCCTCAAAATAACCTTTCAAAAGGCATGTGAAAACACCTGAATTGGCCTTTCTGTGGAGAGACATTTTTATGCACTGTAGTGATTAACCAATAGCCTTCAGGAAGAGACATGCTGTACACATTACAGCACATTTAAGACAGGCCCCTGGGAAGACTAAATGCCACAGAGAACCACAGGTCAAATGTGTCTCATCAAAGAAATCTGGACATCCAAGACTTCATGCTCACAGACATCCTGGGCCAAGGCAAGGTTTTAGGACACTCAAGCTCTTTACAACTTTTTGATTGTTTTTGATATGAAGCACAAGGAGACCTTTATGGGTTGGTTTCCTTGGATAATTTCACTAAGAACCAAGAAGAACAAAGCTAGCTTTTTTAAAACACGTAATTTGTGTAAAATAACTCATGTCTAAACTAGCTGAGCTACTCTCCATCCTCTATTTCAGACATGCTCTATGATCTCCTCAATAAAAAGGTGGTAGTGTGTTCTTAGGAGCCCCAGAGGCACAGAGATTAGTTAAAGCACTCAGCTGCTAACCCAAAGGTCAGAGTTCGAACCCACCAGCCTTGGAAACCTTATGGGGCAGTTCTACTCTGTCCTATACGGTCACTGTAAGTTGGAATCTACTTGATGGCATACAACAAGAGCAAGCATTTCTTAAAAGTTTTGGGAAACAGGAAGGGAATGGAATCTCAGAGGCAGATATATTTTTTTGGTGTGTGTGTCGGGGGGTGGGGGAACAGAAAGAGGACAAGAAAGCAAGGTCAGGATTCTTGAATGGAAACCAAAACCCAAACCAAACTCACTGCCATCGAGTCATATCCAACTCAGAGCGACCTCTCCTTGGGTTTCCAAGGCAGTATCACTACGGAAGTAGATTGCTCAACCTTCCTTCTGAGCTTGAATGGTCAAGAACATTGGAAATCACCCAATCCAGGAACAGTAAACTGTTTCCATTTCTGGTGTCTATGCTAAATGACTGGTAGTCAGGTGCTTGGGATGCTAGTATTGAGAAGGGCTCTGAGGTTGTTTCTGAACTCAACTGGAAAAACTGCCATGATGGCAGAGTAAGCCTGTTATGGGTTCAGGACTGAGCAGGGACAGTCCCCACACCCTCTCTTTGACATCAGATCTAGCCCAAGCTTTACTCATGATAGAATTGGGGCCCAGAGAATGAAAGGGTTTTGACCAAGGTCACAAAAGTAGTAATGCCTTAGGAGGGAAGAAGAAGGAAAAGGATATAGAGGTAGGGTAGGAAGCAGGGATGGTGGTGAGAGGGGATAAGGATGAAAGCTACTTTTAGGTGTGGAATAACCAAGAAAGGCATCTTCCCATTTGAAACCACTGTCCAAAGAAGATCTAGATGGGGCAAGAAAATAGGGGGGAATGATACTGGCTAATTAGAAAGGACATGTAGGATCCCTGGAAGAATCAGTACCATCCTGAGGATTAATTTGCAGGAGATTGTTTGTCCTTTTTTGGCCAAAAAAATGAGAGCTTCTCTCACTAGCCAAAAGCCTTTTCAGACTGGTCCCTGAAAGCATTGTGCGTAGAGATGCCTGTTGGTTGCCATGGTGAATGATGTTGATCTGAAGAAATGAATAATGTGGGCGTTGGGGGCGACAGTGGGATTACTCAGAGAGTGGTGAGGGAGGTATCAAGAAGAGCCCACAGCAGAGAAGGGGAGAATCACCATCTTTCTGCTTTGGTCCACTCTGACGGCACACAACAACAGCCTCCAAGGCTGAGCTTTAACCGGATACACTGCCAGCATCAGGTAAGAGACCTGAATGGCGCTCCCTGGAAATGTAAATAGTGTTTCCTTTCATATTCATCTAGAAGAAGGGCCAGACTTGTTAGTAAGAATTGCTTGAAATCTCCATGGCAGTGAGTTTGGGTTTTTTTTTTTGGAAGAAATAGAAGTGGCAAAAGAAAAGTAAGTAGGGAAGACTGATTTGGTCCTAAAAGCTGAGGATGCTGCTAATGTCCTGACAGAAAGATCTTAAAAATGTCTGCTGTGAGGAACCCAGTCTGCAAAGCCAGCCAGCATCAGATATGAGGCAAAAAGGAGAACAGATTCAAGACAAAAAATACAAAAAATTTTATTCCTGATTATTCCTGATGGAAGGGTTTTACGAAGGCTGTTGCCTATGTATCATAAGTAATGAATTAAGCTTTTCTCATTGTGCTGGAAGAGTAGTTATAGGAGTGTGTGGGGTGTTGGTGTGGGGTGGGTAGGTGTGTAACAAAAGGAGATGAAAAGAGGGAGTACAAATATTCAGTCTTTTTTGCAATAACCTATCTTAGAAGGATCTGAGTATGCCTGTCTAGTCCTTTCTATTACCTATTTTTCTGGGAAGAAATTTCCAGTGGAATGGAAAAGAACTCACCCCTTTTCTGAACACTTCAATTCATTGTCATCTTTAGAGAAGAAAAACAAGGATTGAAAAATTACTCTATGCTGTGTAGCTTTCTGTACAACTCCTCTAGAAATACGGGCTCAAAAACAGGTAGGAGTGAAGCAGGTGAGAGAAAAAGGCAGCTCACAGTAGAATCAATTCAGCTTCATATCCAATTCAGGTTAAAATCCTAGCAACTGATTTCTACTATGTTACTGCAATCTAAACTGAAACCTGTTCCTCACATTAAAAAAGGAGGGACAAAGAACAAAGCAGGGTGAGACTTATCCATGAATATACACAAGTTGAATATGACTGTCCCCTAATTTTAGATCAGGAGAAATTCAATGGAGGGGAACTGTACCTCTCAAGTGGAAAGAATTAAAGGGAAATAAAAAAGCCTGAGAATGGCTCTCTCTTAGCAAAGAAGCAGGGCTGGCAATCTGAAGAGTGTTCGTTCGAATTGTCTGGAACAACAGCTATGAGGTCTCAGCATCACCACTGCATTTTGCAGTAAGAGTCAGTTACTAAACTCAGCAGCCTTCCATTTGGAAGTCAAGCTGCTGACTGGCTTTGAGTCTGTCTTCTACTTATTAGCTGAAAGACCTCAGATTGCCCATCTGTAAAATGGGGTTCTACCTCAGAAGGAATAGGAATGAATAAAGGCAATTTATTATTGCATGTTTGGCATCGAGCATGGCCTGTGACACAACCGCTCACTATTGGTGGTGGTGGTTGTTAGGTGCCATCGAGTTGGCTCTGACTCAGCAACCCCGTTGGCAGTTATTATTATTATTTATGGTACCAGTAGTAATAAGTAGCAGGAGTTATGCTACTGGTAGGAGCTAATTGTCTTCTTGTGAAACTGATGTCCTGGGTATGGTTGGTTTCAAAAAAACCAATAAATAAGAGCAGAGGTTTTGGGGTAAAATCAGCTGCCAATCAGTGACAAAGCAAATCTTCTGTCACCATGGGCATCAGAACTAGAAGGCTAAAAAAGCAGTAGGCAGAATGTTCTAGATAATTGAGCTCACCTCTTTTGAAGCAGAAACAGAAAGGAAATTATAGGTGAAACAACTGCCTGACTAGATGTCACAGAGTTGTAGTGACAAAGATGGGAACGCTGTGGCTCTGACTTATTCTATTCTTCCTCTTCTTTTAAGGGTTGGGGACAATTTTATATCCAAAGGATCTGAACCAAGGTGGAATGAGCCTGGGGGGGATATGGGTGAATCTTCTTTAGACCTGAAGGCTACCAACTGTGGCATGAGACTTGGAACTCTTGTTCAATTTGTTCTGCCACTTCTTAGCTATGCCAAGCTAAGTAACATAACTTCTTAACCTCCATTTGTCTTTAAAATTGGGTGCCATATTGGTTTCTATAAGATAATAATTGGTGCCTATGATCATTATAAATTAGATAGAGGGATGTCACTTTTCACTTTGATTCTGGTTCCAGAATCAGGATGAACATCGAGGTTGGGAACGTTTCATATACGAGAGCCATCATTTCCTGGTCTTCCTCAGAGCCCTGCCTGGAGGACTATTATCATATTATGTATAGGCCCAATTGGAACAGCATCTTCTCTGGCTATCTTCGGTACAGCTTCCACCACGAGGAGAAGGTGCCTCGAACGATCAGCTCCCTGGTGCTTGAACATCTGGCTCCTTCCACTCTCTACTTCCTGTGTATTAGCTGCAAGAAGGCTATCTTCCCCTACAGGCACGACTGCACCATGTTCCACACACTGGATAAGAGACCACTGGCTTCTGGAAGCTCCTTGGTGGACCCCCAAATCTCCCTTTGGGTGCTGATGGCCATTCTGATGGCCTGTTTCACTGCCGTCTTAGCCTTCATCTGCCTCCAGTTCTGGTGCATTCGTTGCCATGAGCCACGGTGGTCTTACAGAGCTGGCCACATGGAAGAAGCCAACGGGTTGGTGAGATGGCCAGAGGAGGCTCCAGTTCTTGGTCAGAGGGAAGGAGACCTGCAGGCGCTCCCCCTGGTGGAACTGCCACGCAAAAACTCCGGAGCAGCAGCTGAACCAGAAGTGGAAGCTGCCCAGGATGCCCCCAGAGGACATGGGTGTCTTACATAGGGAGAGTGGTGACCAACCTGCCACACTGCCTCGGTATAGGGAATAAGAGGTGGGGAGAAGACACTACACATGACATAGCTAAAATCTTGCATACAGTAAGTCTTTTGTAAAAAAAAATGTCTATAGTGTATCCATTTCTCTCCCTGAAATGTTAGTGCTATTATGGAAGAACTGGTTGAGTAAATGCCCTATGACAAAGCTTCTCAAATTGGAAAACATATACCCTCCAAGGGTATACCAAGGGAGAAAAGTGGCATCTCTTCAGGAGAGTCCATTGTGGGGTGCAGTTAAGAATTAAAGCATTACTTCAGTATTAAAACAAATAAGGATACACAATGGAAGCAACAGTGAAATGACAAAAATAAAATATCATACTTCGAGGAAATTTTGAGTTGCTAGTGAGCTCTTTGAGCTATACCTTCAGCCTGCTGGGCAGATGTCCAGTCTCCTCTGCCATGAGGGGGATTATGTGGGAAAAGTGTGAGAAACCTTGCTCCAGAGTTTTACAAATTCCAGGTAATCAGACACGACCTTGTACCCTAGTGTCGTAGTTTTTTAAATCATAGGCTATCTTTATAATTAATAATATTTTAAGTTGACCCATTTTTTAAACTTGAACTTATTTTTAAAAGATAGCCTTATATTACTCCATAGATTAAAAAACAAAAAACAAGTACCCTTCTGCTATAAATAAAAGGGAAGAGCTATAGGAATAAACATAATGAAAACAAATAATAGTAAGTTCAATTTAGATTCTATTGCCTGCCAAAGGCTTAGGGCCTGAGGCTTGCTCTCTTTTCGTTAATAAAAAGGGAGATAAACAAGTGTTGGAGAGGTATTAAAGATATTAGCACCAAAATATGATGCTCTGCTTGATATAATCATAAGGATTGATAGCTAATTGAAAAGGGAAGTGTATTTTCAATTTGTGAGTGAATATTACTTAATTCCATGCTTGGCAACCACTTGTATGTGACCCTTGATTTGAGAAAACTGCCTTGACCATATGGGCTTTGCTGGAGAAGACCCTGTCCTCTCCCAGGATCACCTCTGGGTCCAACCACTGGGAACTCACGTTGGTTAATCACACATCCCAAGCAAGGGCTCCTCTAGAGGAGAACTTTTTCTAACACTGTTATAGTTACGTTGTCAGTTCCTCTTTTCAATCCGCTTAAGAATAGGGTCAAGGGTGATCATTTGTATTCCATTGAAAAGAAAAATGATGGTATCATGTTTGTTGATCTATTTAGCCCTTTCTGTGGCATTCTGTATCATCCCACATAAACTCCCGTGGTAAGAAATGGATCTCCTTCATACTTAGTGTTGTTGATGAGCATTTGTGAGCACTGTTCACCTGCCCTCCCATGACTGTAGAAATGGAACCTGAGGAGAACAGAGATTGTTTTGATCCCTTTTTTTATCTCCAGCACACAGAATCTGGCATCCTGTGGCGCTTAATGAATGTTTGTTTAATAAATGGCAAAAAGGACTGACTGGCCCAGACTAAGGACACCATTTGGGAGGGTTTAGTCAGAGCCAGGATGTGTATGTATGAGCAAGAGCAGCAAAGCGGCAGAGGACCCGTTGCTCAGCTCTGTCTCCAGCCATCCAGGATTCCCTTCAAAGCTCTATCTTCCCAACCTCTTCTTGTCCTCAAACCCCTTGTATTTATGAGTACAACACCCAGAACCACAGGATGATACTGCAATGAATCAATCGAGAGCCTGGAGGAGAATGGAAGCCGAGATGAGAAGCCCCACAGACAATTTCCCCACTCACCCAGCGAAGTCCTCACCTCACTGTTCCTGCCCAGCTTCCTGCCCTGCTAGTTCTGTGTTCACCCCACCCTTGCTAGCTGTGAACAAATAAAGGTGAATCTACTCAGAATTGTTTCTGCCTGGATTTCACTGCTGCCTCTTCTTTGCCACACCTTCTTACTTTTCGGATTTAGGGAACACTTTTCTGTTCATTTTATCTCATGAACCTTCTTAAAAGGTAGGCCATAGCAGGACTACTCACCTTGGATCCATAGAGGTAATAAGGCTGGACGTTAGCAGGTTTATCTCTTTGTGGTTCTTGGGTAAAGGGAATAGCAGTTCGGACAAAACTGGTGGAAGAGAAGAGATGGGGCAGAAGTTAGCCAGGTCCTAATATTATTCTCCATGGGACATGACAAGTGAAAGCCCTTCTTGGCCAGGTGAAGGCTCACGCTGATGCAACAGCACTCACTATTACTTAGATGGTTGCCTCTAAAGGTATTAAACTCTTCTGACATCCTCTCATTCAACTACTATATCCTTTCCATTATGGGAAAACCAAAGCAAACCAAACCTACTGCCATCAGGTTGATCCCAATTCATAGTGACCCCCACTGGGTTTCCAAGATGATAAATCTTTACAGAAGGAGACTGCCCCATCTTCCTTCCTTGGAGCAGCTGGTGGGTTTGAACCACCAACCTTCTGGTTAGCAGTTAAGTGCCTTAGGCACTGCACCACCAGAGTACTTATGGGAAAACAGCAGTCCAGATTTACAGGCTCAACTCAGGGCTTGAGGCTGTTCAGAAGTACAGGAGGATGGGCCTGAAAATAGCCCTACTCCAGGACTCCATTCCTTCAAGCCCAGATTGGTTTCTCAAGAGTAAAGGCTAACAAACTTTTTCTGCTAAGGTTAAGACAGTAAATATTTTAGAATCTGTGGGCCATACAACTTCTGTTGCAACTACTCAATGCTGACATTGTAGGGCAAAAGTAGCCACAGAAAATATATAAACTGGTAAGTGTGGCTATGTTCAAATAAACTTTATAAATTTCAAGTAATTTTCTCTTGTCATTAAATATTCTTACCATTCTTCAGGGTTTTTTTCAACCATTAAAAATGTCAAAGTCATCTTTAGCTCATGGGTTGTGCAAATGTAGGTGGTGGGCTGGCTATGGCCTACAGGTTGTAGTTTGGTAAGCTCTGTTCAAGAGAGTTATTTTTCAAATCTTTAGAAAACTTCAAGTCTGTCTTGCTAAGTGTGTAGATTCAGGTGTCTCTGTGGATTCCTTCCATACATTTGCATCCATTCAACATATACATACATAATACCAGCCCTAGGTATACTGAGAAGACCTGCAAATGTGTACATTTTTGTGAGTCCTTATCTACTTGTGTGGAGTCCCTGGGTGGTACAATTAATATGTTTAGCTACTAACCAAAGTTTGGAGGTTCAAGTCTACCTTGAGGTGTCTTGAAAGAAAGGCCTGGTGATCTACTTCTGAAAAATCAGCCATTGAAAACCCTATGGAATATATATCTGTTCAGACAGACATGAGGTCATCATGAGTTGGAATTGACTTCACAGCAATTGGTTTTGTGTACTTATATACATGTCTCACCTCTTCTACCAGGTTATGAGCCTCTGTAGAAATGAAGAGAGTAGGAATTGCCTCCTAGTACCTGGGCCATGCACATTGTGGGAGACATGTTCACTTTGTCATGTGTAGGTGTGCTCTGCAAATGTACCCCTATTCATACACATGCATTCAGATAGGTGGATGTCTTATCTTATAAAAGTAAAATCGGATCACATCACTTCCCTGCCTCAAACCTTCCCAAGGCTGATAAATGCCTGATGCTAACATGGCCTACAGAGTCATCCTGGTCTGCTTCCTGTTTCCTTTTTTGTCCTGACTTGTCTTTCATGGTACCACACCCCATCCCTCACCAGTCTCTTTGTAACTTGGCTTGGCATATTCATACTCATCTCCTATCGTTTTACCTTATTTATTATTATTCATTTTTCACATTTCAACTCAAGCATTATTTCCTCAGAAAGGCCTTCCTGAAGCTCATGTCACCTTTCTAGACTGAAGGTGTCCCTGTTACCCTCTCATGGCTCTGTGGGCCTTCATCCATCTCCTTGTCCACAGTTTGTGACATCTGTCATGCAACTGTTTGATCACAGATGTCCTCCTCTAGCTTGAGGCTCTAAGAGGCAGGAAGGTGTCTACTTGCTCGCCATGTCATCCTAAGCCTTCAGCACAGAACCTGCACTGAGAAGGGGCTCAGTGACGTCGTTATAGGAGTGAACTGATGTGTGCTGGCTGGGCCTAGTTTGGAGGAGGCAGGAGGCTGCTCCCCTAACCCGCTGCTGCAGCCCCCTTTGCCGAGGGACTCCCTTACCGGTTTGTGGACCCATTGTAGCAGTAGTTGGGGAGAAAGTCGAAGTTCAGCTCCCAGAAGACGTGCAGGGTAATTCGGCCATAGGGGGCAGACACGTTATGATTCGCCTCCCGGAACATGGCATCAAAGCTGTCCAGGGTCATGTGCTTACACAGCAGGCGGTGTGTGAGCCGGTTGATCTCCAGCAGCCACTCCAGTTCCTGCCCAGAGAGAACCACGTCTGCTGAGGACTTTAGGCAGCAACCTCACATGCGCATAACACTTTATCTTACAGACCCATGCAGGTGTGAGAGCTCCTCTAGCTTCTAAGCACATACATGGAGACTAGGACCCTTGCAGTGACAAATAACAACTTCCCTTTCTTCAGAAAAGTAGAATGAATTGCCAGACTCTGTGTGTCTGCCCCGAGAAGGAGACTACATGCCATGTGCAAATCCCCACAAACTGGAAAGCTTGCTTACTTTCCAGTTTCTATACTGGTGAGGAAATAGCTTGTCTCTCAGTGTCATGGGTAAAGCAAAAGAAAGTTGTGACTGAGTATCATCAGAGGCTACATCTCTGCCCTTTAGAAAACAATTGTAAATACTACCATCTGTCAAGTGCTTACTGTTTGATGGAACCTTATAAAATTGCTATTTTTAGGTCGTAGTGTGTGAAATGTCAAAAATTTTGTATGGTTGAACCTACAAAATGTATGTATGTACCACAGAATTCCTAGCACTTCATATGTGGTAGCTTACTTAACTGTCATAAAAACTCTATCATGCCAGTATTACTGCTGTCCTTATTTCACATATGCAAGTATTGAGGACTTGATAAGTTAAGTAACTTCGTTTCAAATCCAGGAAGTCCACATTCTTAGCCACTGTATACTTGTTGTTATGTGCCATCGAGTCAGACCCGACTCATAGCGACCCCTCCCCACTGTATACTATAACTCTCTAAAGAAATTTTTAAGAGGCAGGGGCGAAACAACTCTTCCTTTGGACTGTAGGTAGGTGTCTCAAGTTACACAGGGGGTGGTCATACATGCTAGCAGTTATGGAGTGAACTGTGTTCACAGAAAACATATGTGCAACTGCTCACCCCCAGTACCTGAGACAATGACCTTGTTTGGAAATAAAGCCTTTGTAGATATATCAAATTGAGATGAAGACATAATGGAGTAGGTGGGTCATAATCCAATATTACAGGTATCCTTATAAGAGGTGAGTAGACACAGAGACCCACAGGGCAGATGACCAGGTAACGACAGAAAGAGATTGGAGTGATATTGCAATTAGCCAAGAAATGTCAAGAATTGCAGGTAAATGCCAGAGTGAGAGGTTTCCCTGCAGCATTCTGAGAGAAAGCATGGCCTTACTAACACCTTGGTTTTGGAAAGCTACCCTCCAGAGCTGTGAGAGACTGTCTATTGTTTTAAGCCACCGAGTTTGTGGTACTGGGTTAGAGCAGCCCTAGGAAACCAATGTACCAGGAGAGGCAGCAAGCCATAGAGAAACCCTCTGCAGTGTGCCAAGAGGTCAAATAAAGTGTAAGAGTTGTGGGCTTGATCTTTTAGGATCACCTTCAGGCAGAGAGCAGGAGCTGAGGGGATAATACCCAGATACAGCAGGATACTGCATCTACTGGGAAATAAAAGGAGGCTGGCTTTGGCCTCTTGACTTGTAACTTCCTGATCACTGCCATCACAGAGATTCAAAGCACCGTCTTGTCCATGGGGAGGGGCATCCCTAACTTTGTGGAACTCCAGGACATTCTTGTGCTGTTTTGGTTAAGCTGTCTTGTCAGATTCATACAACCATCTCTGTTTTAGAAGAGGAGAAAACACTCAGAGGGTTATGTCCATTGGCCCTGGTCACATGTACAGGGCTTGGAGTGTGAATCCAGGTCTTCCGATTGCAAATCACGTGTTCTTGGCCCCTAGGATACAGCTGCCCCGAATAAGGAAGCAAGATCTGTGAAAGCCCTTGAAAAATAAAAGTGCTTTTACAACATAAAGGCTAAATACAAGAACATCAGCAAGGGCAGTACCCCAGATCCTGGCCAGGAGATGGGGTAGCCAACTGGTCAGCTTTAATGGCTGAGACTAGAGCTAACTGTTCTGAGGTCACAAGATGGAGCCCTGCACCAGGGATTCAATTTTATTCTCTTCAGCCACAAATCCCTCCTGACGATGGAGGAGTCCAGGGATGGTCAGGTAGAGGCCCACGACCAAGGTTCCAATCTTGGCGCTCTGCTTCTCTGAAACTCAGATTCAGAGCTTGCAAATGTATATGGCTCTAGGGGTTGAACAGGTCAGGTAAATGAGACAAGCTGGGGCAGGCATCTTAGAGGTGGGTTGCCTATGGCAAATTGGAGAACCCATGCCCAGCTAAGGCAGAGCTGCTATTTAACCCTGGGTGGTTGCTGCCACATCTAAATGCAGCTTAGTGATGGCAGATCCTGTCATTTTTCAAAAGAAGATTGAAACACATTTAAATGCTGGCAACTGAAAAAAAAAAAAAAGGATAACCTCTGGCAGGCCAGATAAAACATCCATGGGCCAAATGTGCTGGGCAGCTGGTCTGTTCCTCTGTACTGAAGCTCTCTGCCCCTGACTTGTCAGAAGCTCACTCTAGGCCATAGAGGGTTATGTGATTATGCTAAGAAAAATAGATCTTCATCTTTCAGAGCCACATGACATGATGTCCAAGACTTGCTTTAAAATGATCTGGGACTGAGGATAAGAGTGGGGGCAGAAATCAAAACAGATTGATATTGACCAACATTGATAACTGAGTCTGGGTGATAGATAAGTGGGTCCATTTGACCCACTTACTTTTGCATATGTTGGAACTTTTCCATAAGAAAAAGAGTTTAAACATTAATTGATTTAAAAAAATTAAGAAGAAGATGTACAAAGAGTCAACTCCTTTATCTTCTTCACTCAGGGTTGCCATCTGCCTGAACTGAGAAAAAAATAAACTCTTGGTTCCCAGGGTGAAAGGAGTATAAGAAAGGAAGAGTAGTGAGGAGACATTAAGGGGCCAGCAGCAAAATGGAGCTAAGAGACCTCAGGGCCTGAGCTGAGACAAGAGATGGAAGAGGGGCCAAGGAGGGCTGGCCTCCGGGAGGGAAGGTAAGGATTCTAGAACAGCAGCAAGTTCCCAGCCTTTGTGCACAGTGCAGTCAATGAAGGGCAGACCTACAGAATATCCTTTCTGCTTCTGTATCTTGGGGCATCGCTAGCTTGACTGTGCCCACTCAACTTTGTTCCCACTCACTTAGGATAGATTTAAAAAATAATAATAATTTTTTAAAATAAAAATAAATGGAGTAAATGCTAATGAGTTTATTTCCAAGATTACTCAGTCCCTTGGCACACTGAGGCCTATTACTGGGAAGATAACTGCAGATGAGAAACAGGGGAATAATTTCTCTTCTAATGTTCTGTGATTTTAATAGTCTCACAAATGTGGATCAGTGTTTATGAGAGAGACCAAAGGGAGTTCTCAGCCCTGCTAATGTGGGGCCTGCTGAAACTGTAGGCCCACTTCATTCACCAAGCCATGAGTTCAGGCATGTTTCTCTGTTACGTAATTCAATCTGTGTTTTGCATTGTGTGTTCTTCAGCCTTAGAATCAGAAATGCATTTGCCTGCTGGATTCGGGACTAAGTGTACCAAGGCATGGAAGGCTTAAAGGCCAAGTGAGTGGCTTAGGGGTCTTCTGAGGGGATATAAGCTTTCTACAGTAAAGCCAATGTACTGAGTGGCTACAAAGAAAAGCAAAATGGGAGGTAGGAGGTGTAAAACACCAAATAGGCAACTTCTGTGAAGTAGCAGAAAGAGCTCTTTCAATGGTGGCCAGAAAATCTGAGTGTTAGCCTCATCTTGATTGATAGCCAGCTCTGGGACCCCAGATAGGTAAGAAGAACAAAGAGTTTGAAACTCAGGCACAGTGAGGCCTGGTAGGTAATTTACATGATGAAGTGGGCCACAGGTGGGGCTCCAGACAAACTGAAGATAGCATGGCCCATCTAATGGGAACTTCTAGTCATATCCAGTCAACCACTGCCGTCTGGGAATGCCACTCTGGTGTTGCCAGAGCTTCTGCATTTTTATTTGAATTCTTCCAAATGTGAAATGTGGGCTTAAAATTTCAAATACATTATACAATCTAAGCAAAACACAGCTTACAGGCTGCCAGTGTTCAATTTCACAGATCTCTCCGAGAATCTATTTGCTCAGCTGTGTAAAATGAGGCAATTGACTGACAAATCTCCACAGCCTCTCCCAGCCCAGATTCAAGCTGCCTCCCCACCACCGCTCAGAATGGAGTTTCTAAGGTGCAGGGAAGGGCTGAGAGAAACATATTCTTGGTTTGCTGCTCAATAGAGACAGAAGCAGGAGCTCTGGTAGCATAGCGCCTAAGGCACTTGACTGCTAACCAGAAGGCTGGTGGTTCAAACCCACCAGCCCCTCCTCGGAAGAAAGATTGGGCAATCTACTCTGTAGTGGTACTGCTTTGGAAACCCAAGGAGGGGTCACTATGAGTTGGGTCGGACTCGACGGCCCATAACAACAACAGAGACAGAAGCATCTCAGCCAAGAGAGTGAGGGTGTCCTGACTCCAAAAGGAGAGAACTTCCCTGGGGTCTCCTCTTTATCGACCTCACAGGAAGTGGGTACACCTAGGGAACCATTGTTCTTACCTGATAAACAAAGGCTTTCACTTGTTTTGATTTTTCTCTCAGCTAAAAGAATATTCAGTACCTTTCAAGGGGTGGAAATAGGCCATGGACACATTAGAAAAAAAAAAAGAAACATAAACACAGAATCACCATTTTTTTTTCCTCAGAAGACACACACATCATCGGAATGTAGAAAATGCAGATAAACAAAAAAGGAGAAAATAAAAATCCCAATACTTGAAGATAATCACTGCTAACCTTTTGGTGTAAAACAAAGAACAATTCTGCTTCTCAAATTAGAGGTGGCTAAATTACTTCCCAGCAGAACACTGTGCTATAGTAGAGTCTCTTGAAATAAGTGGCACAGGGATGAGGTAGGCAATTGGGCCAAGTCCTTTCAAATGCTGCTGGAAATTCTGCCTGAGAGCCTTTCATCAAACCCAACAATTTCTGTGTTCCTCTCATCCTCTTTTCAAGAGTTTTTATTTATAATGTTTAATATTTGAAAGGATATGCTAAGTTCTTC